GCTTTTATGCATTTATTTAATCCTCTCTAGCCTGATATGTCTACGTCCGAACTATTTCAATAACATCGCTAACATAAGATACGTATACTGACTGTGCGAGCTGACCTGGTTAATTTTTTTATGTGACCGTTCTACAATTTTCATATTTTCAAGCTTTTTTGTACATTTATGCAAATGCAAAAAGCATATTGACCAGAAGTAGCCTGCGAGCGGGTGTATGTGTACGTGTGTGTGTTCGCATTTTTATCACCCACTTTCAGTTCAGAAACCGATGAAGCTAGATGGCTGAAATTAGAAACTTTTACATCGAGCTCGAATGCACAAGCACGTATTGCGCACGAGTTTGTCAAAGCTACGATTTCGCAACTGGTGGGGAAATGCTGATTGGAGATTGAGGACTAGTAGGCTTCTCAAAGAATTTGTACTTCCGATTTTACGAGGATATTTTTTTATTTACCGTACCCATGAAATAAACATTGCTAGCAACCTGACTGCTTCAAGTTCAGTACAAAAATGCATAATCGTACAGGCTAGCGTAGCGAGTTCCAGCTTAGAGTTTTCATCACCTAACAATCATACTGATAACTTAAAAGGGAGGCTTTCAGGCATACCGGCTAAACAGACCAGTTGGAAGTCGAACCCGCGATGTCAGCTTCATGGACGAGCAGTTTTCCCGCTGCGCCATCAAACACTGTGAAGCACAGGCAGAAGTAGAACCCAGATTCACCAGCGTAGTAAAACGGCGTTCTGCCGCTAGGCTACCAGTGCAGCGCGGGGCAGACGCGGGGTTCGGACCCAAGACGTCGGCTTGACTGGGTCTTGCTAATAATCCTGTGGCAGGATCCGAACCAGGGACATTAGCACAGCGCCACTGAGCTACTCATACAGTGCGGGGAGGGCGAGAAATCGGTCAGGTCACCAACGCAGTAGGCGGTCATCCTCCCACTGCACCATCTATGAATGCGCGCCAGACGTAGGAGTCCAATCCGAGTCGTCCGCATAGCAAACCTGTTGCAAAAGGAAGAAGGAGCGAATAGCAAGAAAACGAAGATGGAGATTAAACTCCCTTCGTCTTACCCAGTTGCTCTTCGGTCCCTGTGGAATGCAAATATCCCGTTTCTTGGCTCGAGTTCCTCCCTCCGCGATATTTAATGTGATGATTGGAAATGAAATTGTTATTGTGACTGTTTTGTTTCGTAAAATCTGAAGGTGCGTCACAGCAGCTTGGAGCTACTAACGCTTGAAACTGTTGCGTTTGTCCGGTAACAGCTTGGAACCACTGCCAGGCAGATCCCGGGTTGGGTTGCTTTCTTTTTATGCGTTCTCCGTGCAGCGCTAGAGCGCTGTAACAGGCAGCAAAAACGCATATCGCAACGACCCTGTCAGTGTGTGTATGTGTGTGTGTTTATGTGTGTGTATGTGTGTGTGCGTGTGTGTGTGTGTTCGTCTGTCCGGGTATTTCAACTCGCTAACCATGCAAGCTTTGAAGCTGAAA